TGCACGTTATGCTTTGCCCACTTTTCTAAAATCCACATAAGTGGTAAGTGTGCACGTTATGCTTTGCCCACTTTTCTAAAATCCACATAAGTGGTAAGTGTGCACGTTATGCTTTGCCCACTTTTCTAAAATCCACATAAGTGGTAAGTGTGCACGTTATGCTTTGCCCACTTTTCTAAAAATCCTGTATGGTAAGAGCTACGCGCAAGACTTCGTGCTCTTTTTGAGTGGTTTAAAACCCCGGTTCTGCCTTGGGCACCACTCCCCCTATGTATCCTCTGGATACCTACTTAACAGGGTATTGCTACTAAGGATCTGTTGAGACAGTTCCTTCACCACAAGACAAACGTGCGGTAGCCCCTGTGTGACAGACCAAGACTAGTATGATTCTAGGCTCTTGGTCGTATTCCCTTAAAGGAATCTGTTTCTGATTCCAAGCCTTGAGCTCTACCCCGGGCCCAGGAGTCTGGCCCTAACAGGTAAGTAGTTTGGGGTATGTAGCCTAGGCCTTTGGCCGTAGGGAATAACGTCACTGACAGCCGTCTAAACGTCCCAGGGGCAACTCCCATAGCAATATGGTAGAGTTGGTTCTTAGTGCTCGCCATGGTTCTGGCTTGCACTCCCCTCAGCATGGCGGCGTGGGTATACCGTTCCCCATAGCGACCCCTAGAGGACGCAGTTCGAAGTTCCCATGAAAGGGAACGTCTCAGGTTACTTATGTAACCATGGTTCCCTGAGTAGGGAACGAGACACTGCGTCCTCTAGGTTTCTTGCCATGCTGCGGACGCAAGCTTCAGACGAAGAAGTGAACGATGTGTAGCTCCCGGCACCGATTTATACTGTAGTCGCACCGGTAGTGACGTCATGGCTGTCGCCGGCCAACGAGTTGGTGTTTTTTCAATGTATGCTTCAGACACGGGTCACGACGAGGCGTTCCCCATAGCGACCCCTAGAGGACGCAGTGTCTCGTTCCCTACTCAGGGAACCATGGTTACATAAGTAACCTGAGACGTTTCT